CGGGCGGGCGGGCGGGGACCGGGGCCGCTGGACCCCCGAGGTAGCGCTCTGCCGGGGTAGCCTCGCCCGCAGCCCTTCCTTCTCAGAATACTCTGGCTTCAGGTTAACCCAGCGAAGTGCTTTAGGGCCGGGAAACCCGGGTGCGTTCGCAGTGGCTGGAGCCCTTCCGACGGGCAGGGGGTGCTCGGGGACCGCGCTCCCGTCCGGAGCCTCCCCCGCCCCCGGCCCCGGGACCGCCTAGACACGCGTGTGTACTCCGCACGCCCCTTTCGCCGTGCGTCGTTGCGGGACCCCGAGTGTAGCTCCCCGTGCTGCACGGAGCGGCTCCTCCTCCGCCTGATTGTCACTACCCCACCAGTGTCGGGTGGCCGTTTAGCAAGTAGATAGGCCTCAACTGCCGCTGTTCTTGGATGGCTCAGGCTTGAGTTCCTGTTTTTAAAGAATTGAGGCAAGGAAGCCACCGTTTTCTCATTTCAGTTAAAACGAAAGTGTATATATGCTTCAGAGATGAGGCCAGCCAGGCATTCACACGTGTTCTGATCCCAAAAAGGGTGGGGGGGAGCAGTCGGCTGTCAGTTCAAGCAGCGGGTGTCAGAAATGGGCCCTGGGTTAGCCCGTGCGCTGTGAGGGTCCCCAGGGGGCGCGGCGGGTGCCTTGATGCCCATGACTCTCGGGGACCACTTCTGACTGCTGATTCAGCAGAACCGTCTCCTGCTGGTGTAAAATCTCTGTTCTAGGTAGTCGCGTTCTCCCTGACTCCCATCCTTCAAAGATAATTTCTTCAGATCGGTTTTCTGACCTCACACATGTTTTCACTTGACACACAATGATGCAAAATCTAGTCACAGCTGAGCCCTGCGGGCAGCTGCGATTACTTTTCCTTTCATGTAACTTTCTTTTTCTGGAATGAAAACTTTCATGGTAGTGTTTGTTTGTGTTTATCCCCAAATTCAACCTCAGATTCTTACCTGTGATCTAAATCTCTCCTCAAGATGTTCAGATGTAAATAACAAGTTCATACTGTAGAGCACAGGGAACTATATTCAGTATCTTGTAGTAACTTAGGGTGAAAAAGAATATGAAAACGAATATGTGTATGTTCCTATATGAAGCATCGTGCTGTACACCAGAAATTGACACAACATTGTAAACTGACTACACTTCAATCAAAAAACATATATTAAAGAAAGGTGTTCAGCTGAATGAGATGTTTCATCAGTTCCTGTAGAAGTCGCTCCTAGAGCCTTGTGGGGTTGTCTGGTCTTTCGTCACATCATTGGGGAATTCCCTTCGCCTAAGCTGAGCCTTCTGTTCAGTATAGTCTACATTTTTCTTTTTCTCGGTTTACCACCTTATTTTATAGAGCACATATTCTAGCAGCTTCTGGAAGAAGAGTACAGGGTGCACTTTTGAGGCTTTACACATCTGTAAAGGTTATTTCTCCGTCCTCACACTTGGTGACAGTTTGGCTAGGTACTGAGTTATATGTTGGAAGTAAGATTTCTTCAGACACCTGAAAGTATTCGGCTACCACCTAGCTTCTTAAACTTACTTTCAAAGAGACTTGCTTATTTTGGTCCCCCTGCCTCACTCCACCATCCAGAGCCATCTAATGCCTCCAGTTTCTGAGGGCTTTTTTAGGGGGTGAGGGTACCAGATTCTATAGTGCAAATCAGGCTGCCGCTTGACTCTCCCCCTTGCTGATGTAGGATTCAGTTTGCTCAGGTCTTGTGAATTATTCTCCAACGTATCTTAGCTGTATTTCTCCCTGTCCTCATCCTTGGGAGTTCATACTTTTTAAAAATATCCTTTTATTGTCTAGTGGAATATTGGGAAAGAGTAAAATTTGATGCATCAGCTCACTTCACCATTTACACAAAAGTCTTTGGTTAGAGTCTTTGAGATGTTTTGTCTATGGTCACTGGTTTAACACAATTAACTTTCTTTCCATTCCTGTTTTACAGTTCCTGATGAGCATCTATTATCGTAAGTATATATCCTGTTGTATTGGGTTTGTTTTTTTTTTGAGGGGGGTAGATAATTAGGTAATTACATTTACTTATTTGTTTTGTTTTTAGAGAAGGTGCTGGGGATTGAACCCAGGACCCTGTGTATGCTAAGCAGGCGTTCTACCACTTGAGCTATATCCTCCCCCATGGTTTGGTTTTGTTTTTAACCATTAATGTGTTTTAAAAGCTAAATTCTCTCAACATCAACTCTTGATTTTTAAAGGTATTATTACTAAACTAGGGGAAATATTTTCTTGACATGACTGTTAAAAATCCCTCTCAAATGAATAGCCAACATGGTACTGAATATTAAGGCATTCCGTCATTTTCCTGTTTGCCCCTTAATTTTAACATCATCCTAAAAGTTGTAGCTGTTACACTAACCCATGAAGAAGAAATGAGAAGTACATCTGACGGTTGAGTAACCGAGTTTGAACTGCGCATGTCCACTCATGTGGAGTTTTTCGGTAGATGCGTACTATGGTCCAGTCCTGCACCATCCCAGGTTGGTTGAGCCGGGCGTGTGGAGGGCAGGCTGTAAAGTTACCCGCAGGTTTTGGACTGCCCAGTGGGGGGCGCCCCTAGTCCCCGTGTTCTACAAGAATCAACTTTAAGACAATTATCCTTATTTGTAGATGATATAACTACTTTTTAAAAACCAAGAGAATAAAGTTATTTTTTAATACAGAAACTAAAAATCACTTTCCTTCATACACAGAGTTCAAATCTGTAATTACAGCCTCAATAGCAGCAAAAAAGCGAAAGCTACCTAGGAATAACTAAACATTTAATCGCGTGTATACACTTGTATTTCAAAGTCCACAAGGATATACACCAGCCTCTACCAGTGACTATCTTAAGGGGAAGGAAGGAGGTGGAATTTAGAGAAGGGCTTTAACCTTTTTTCTGTTTCTTAAATCTCTTATAAAGATTATACACATTATTAGAAAAAAATTACATTTAAAACAAAATGTGTGAATAATGAAAGAATGCAAGTTACCAAAAGTTTTGGAAGAAAAAGATAAATTTTACTAGTCATCATAAAAATGACAAATTAAAAGAATAAGGTAACTTTCCATCTATAAAACTGGCTACCACAGAAAATATGTTGGTAAGACTCTTCGGGATGTTGGCAAGAATGTGGAGAAAAGGCTAACTGATACCCTGAGGATAGGAGTGTAGATTAGAAGGTAGTCTGGCAACTGACAAGAGAAGCGTTAAAACACACGTATTCTTCGACCCAGAAACTCCACTTGTAAGAATGCAACCCAGGGAAGTAATCATGGATGTTCATAAAGATTTCACAGTGAGCACATGCACCCAGTACTGTTGATGGGAGCAAAAAGAAAAACGCATTAGATTTAATAAACTATCCAAAAGTAGAGTTTGGGGAAAATAAAAGTAGCTCATCTTTAGTGTGGAGTTCTTTGTGACCATTAGAAGTGGTATAGAGGAATATTGCGTTCAAGAGATGCTCACGATATAAAGTAGACAAGGCAGGTTGAAAAACTTATGAGATCCATTTTTGAAGTGAACTGGGATTCTCTCTGATTGATAAAGTTATTACCAAATTTTTTTTTGTCCATAGACAATCTTCATATGTTTAATTTAAAAAACTTCCCATTCTAATAGTTTTTTGTATAAAGAGACTAGTTTGTAAAGATTTAACGTTTTAGTTTGAGATAATTGTAGATTTTTTCAAGAAAGAGTTAACATGATTGAGAGGTTCTAATACACTTTTGCACCCGCCCTTTCTCACCTAACATTGCATAAGAATTTTCGCATACATCAAATTTTTTCTGATACATCATTTAACCCCTGGATAGCCTTTGTTACTAATCCAAAAAGTACGAGTTTAAACACCCATCAGATGGCCAGACATGAAAAGGCCGACGACACTGGTGTCGGTGAGGACGTGGAGGAGCTGGGCCTCTGGTAAGTGCTGGCAGGTGTGCTGCCTCCCCTGCGCAAAGCGGCTGGCGGCTCCTCTGACAACTGGCGAGTGCGCGGGTCCTGGGACTGAGCGGCTCTGCTCCCACTTAGAGCCAGGAAGGGGCGTAGACAGGGCTGACTGAGTGTCACTCACAGCAGCATGAAATGGAAACAACCAGAATGTCTATCGATAGAGTCCTTAAAAAATAAAACCTGTACATACAGTGGAATATTATTCAAAAGTTAAACTTAAAAATACACATGCGTCATTCTTAAAAGCACGTTGAGTGGGAAAAGAAGTTGCCAGAAAGCCTACAATATACCTTTCATGTTTTAAAACTTATCAAATGATACCATGTGTATATGTGGGTGTCTGTATAGGTGTGTGTGTGCCACACATGCGTACTGTGTATGATACAGAAACGTTAACAGGAAGGAAGCCGACAGCCGCGTGTGGCTGCCTCAGGGACGGAGGGCAGTTGGGCAGAAGAGGAAGCACTCTGGTACAAAGAGGCCTGTATCTGCCAACAACATGTTAACATTTATTTTTCCTATATTGATATTTTTTCCAAATTAAAATGAATTAAATATTTACAAACTGCTGGTGGCGATCCTTTGGGTCACGTGACAGATGTGACTTTTAGTCAGGTGGTCTAATCTGAAGCTTCTCTGCTCCGCAGGCTGAAGTTTGTCTTTGGCTCATCAGCCGTCCAGGCCTTGGACCTAGTTGATCGACAGTCCATCACCTTAATCTCATCGCCCAGTGGGAGGCGTGTCTACCAGGTAGAAATCCAGAGGTGGGGGTTATCTCAGCAGAATGCCCTTAGGACAGAATGTTTCCATGAGTGTCTGTGAAAGCTGGGGACCACTTTTAAGTATTTCCTGGACTACTGAAAAGCATTTGGCCCAACTTAGTAAAATCAGACGATTAGTAATTAAAATAAGGGTAAATGTGACTTACGAAATCTAGCTGGTAGCAGTGTGTAGACCCTTTTCTCTGGCCTGATGGAGTACAGCCGACTTTTGTTTTCCCACTGTTTGATTATAGAGTTGCTTCCTCCCTTCTCCCTACCTTGTCCATTCTCTCGCTTACAAGCAGAAACCAAAATGCATTTTAAGGTCTTTCCACATGTCCAGTCATCTGACAGAAATGATCTGTCAGACTTGTCAAGAAATACTCGTTAAGGGTCCGAGTGTGCTAGGCACAGGCAGTTTGTTCGGACCTTGGTTTGGCCTCTGGTGCCTAAGGCAGGCAGATTTGCAAAGCGACAGCCTCTTAGCAGACTCTGAGCTACTTTCACGTGTCGTTCACAGGGCTCACCAAAAGCCTAGGTAGGTGTTTGTTTTGCAGGAAACAGATGCTGAAAAGTGAGTTAACGGTCACAAGCGGCTGGCAACAGGGATCTGCACGTGCTGTCCCACCCTGCCTGTCTTTGTAGAAACAGTGAGCCAGACTCCCCCCGAGTTCAGCCGTACTGGACAGCGGTGCGTGCGGCCGGGCCTGAGAGGAGGGAATATTGGGAACGAAATAAAAGTATTGGCACTGGTCTCCCAGGTTTTGTGTCTGGCTTGGGAGGGGCAAAGAGGAAGCCATCAGTGCGAGTGTTTACCCAGGCCCGGCTGAAGAGCGGGGGGCAGGGGTTGTCAGTGCTTGGACCGTGGCTTGCTTACGAGCGTCTGAGTCGGGGCCTCATCCGTTCGAGTGAGAGGATGACTGAGCAGAGCCTCTTGGGCAAATGGGTGGCCCTGCTTAGGGAGCTGACTTGGCGTTCCAGCCAGCAGCACGGCCCGGCCGAGGGCACCGCCTCATGACGGGGCAGCCAAGGCTGAATGCAGCAGTTAAAACTTAAAAGAGGCTGCTTGGCAGAGTCCTCTCATAGTGAACTTCATGGATTAATAGTCAGCACTGTTAAACGATCATCTGCGCCTAAGGAGGGGTCTCCGTTTCCTTTCCGAGTGCTTCTGTTTTTGCTTTTCATGTAGTTAACACACCCCAACAAGAAGGGCCTTGGGGGTTTTCCCATGTCTTTTAGTTTCAGATTTTTTGTCTCTGTTCCAGTACCCGCATCACACTGGACCTGCACAAGCAGGCGCCTGACTCTCCTCTAATTCTGTGTTCTGGTTATTAGTTACAGTCTTAACGATTCTGTTTGAAACATTTCAATTCCTGTTGACTTTCTGTTCCTCCCAGGATTGCCATGACTTGAATTTTCGTTGTTCACATTCTGTGTTATATTACATTGCTCTATGCATCATAAAAATGCTAACTTCCTAGAATTGTGGCTGTCAGCTTGGACTTTGAATTAAATTAGGCTGTAGAAATCTTATAGCCACCCTCAAATTAACCTTAATGGTTTCATTGCGTACAGTAACGTGGTAAGAGTGTCCAGGTGGGCCCCTCCGCTTAGAACGAACTGGAACCAGAGTGGACGTCCTCCAAGCGAGGTGCGCACAAGTCCAGACACGGGCCTGAGTGTCCTCCTTCCTGTGTTTCGTTTTTAAAAGCTCTGTCCTGGGGGCAAACACTCCAGACTGCGAGTGGGAGAGGTGGGAGCAGCTCCCCTAAGAGGGGTCGTCTTTCCGTTGAAGGGCGAAGGAACGGAATTAGATGCTCCCTGAGGTCAGTCTCTAGTTCTAGCCGCGTCTGACGCAGGTCTCTGTCTGGCTGTTGGGCTCATCAGTTGTCCACTGCTAGATAAAGAGGAGGCAGATTCAGAGCTTACTGTTCCTTTACAGTATTTACTGCCTCCAGCGGCTGAACACCGTGCTCTCAGTCTCAGCCAGCCTTTGAAAGGCTCAGCAAGGGGACCTCTGTGGAATTTCTCCCCCGTCCCTGGGTTACTAGGCATTTGCTCAGCTTAGTCCAGAGCACATTCTGAAGGACCAGGGACCCAGGACAAGAAGGAACCAGTGGGCCGCTCAAGTCAGTGTAGAACCCAGGGGCTCACACCTAGCTATGTTTAGCTCTAGAGAGAGGAGATACAGGAGCTAACTGAAGCAAGAAGAAACCCGAAGTTCCATGTACCGGGAATAGTTTGGAGACCCAAGAATCGTTCATGTCGTTGCTGGATATTGATGGGTTTCTTCCAGTACTAAGTGGAAGACAGTCTGCTTTAATGGTCTCCCTCCCGTTTAAGTTTCCCAGACACTAGGGAAGCTCCCCGCCGATACCCAGTGGAGAGCCCTTAACACGTGTCAGCCCTTGGGGCTGGAAATAGGATAAGATGTGATAAGCCCTGGTCTGTACCTGGGGCTGAAGGTTTTAGTGGAGGCAGTAGGCATCTCCGTACCCTGTCATTGGCCATTTCTGGTGAATCTAGCAGCTCCCAAGGAATTCTACTGACTTGGTCCAAGCCCGTAGTGACATTGCTGGAGGAGGTGAATCGCTGGACAGCAGCACGACGCCGGGCTGTTCTTTGTGTGGGAGAAAGGGAAGAATCCTGGAAGTGCTGGCATTGGAGGAGAAAAAGGCCCTGGCCTCTTCACTTCGATTGTCATCTCAGAGCCTAAAACAGTGTGAAAGCCCCACGGCAAGTTCCTAGTGGAAGTTCATTGCACAGTAACCGCCGGGGTGTCTGCTTCCCTGGGAGACTAATCTCACACTTCCAGGTTGGAAATGAACTCCAGGAATGAAGCCCTCTGCCTTTTAGTTTTTGTCTGCCTGGTGGCAGGAGACTTACAGGAGCGACTTCTCCAGCAAGTCTGCCCGGCCGCACTGCAGACGCGCCACAGCGCCCCTGGGGTCTCCTGTCTGCCCCTGGGCTGGCCGGGGGCCGCCGGCCGCCCGCTCCGCACCCGCGCTCCCTTCCTTCCTGCTGGGGGAGCGGACAGACCTGGGCTTGCCTCCTCCTGAGACAGCGTCCTGAGCAGCTGCGTCGCCCCCTTTACAAGCCCTGCACTTACGCTCCATGCTCTCAGAGGCTTTTCAAAAGCCCTTTCCCGCTTTCCTCTGAAGCCCCGTCCTGCCTCGCTGCTGGACCTCCGCCTGCTGTCACGCCGTCTTCTGGGTGCGGTGGAAGCTTCAGGAGCGCACGCCCCTGCTGTGAAACCCATGGTGAAGTGGGCGCGGGGGCGCTTTCTCCTCTGCCTCTGGGTGCTCAGCCCCCTGAACCCCCAGCCAGAGAACAAAATGGTTCGTGCGGGTGGCTTCACTAGCGCGGAGCCCTCCAGCTTCTCTGTCTGCAGGCTGCGGGGGCAGAACACCGAGCAGCCAGAAGACTCTGCACGCAGGGAAGCTGAGTTTCAACTTGTGTGTGAACTGTTCCTACAGTTCTTCCCAGCGCCACGTGCAGATCAACTCAGAGTCATCAGACAGATAAACTTGGGGGAAGAGAGTGGTTTTCCAGCACACCTCTTCAGCTCTGACCCCGTCCGCCCTTTCCTTTCTAGGTACTTGGAAGCGCTGGTAAAACTTACACGTGCTTGGCTTCTTGTCACTACTGTTCCTGCCCTGCGTTTGCCTTCTCGGTGCTGTGGAAGAGTGACAGCCTGCTGGTGAGACGGGCCAGCGCTCCCCGGGGCAGCCGAGTTAGCGGGGAACCGCCGGCCTTGCTGGGTCGTTTAAGAGTGGGGCAAAACGGGAGTTTTACTGCACGTTGAAACAGACGGCAGTTTATTTTCCTTGACTTCAGTCTGTCATCTCCTTCGGGTCTACCCGCCCCAGATGCAGTGTCACTTTGAGAACTATACGAATTTCCTGTTTTAATTTAAAAGGTCATGGGTGAAGCTTCGGGGAGGGCAACAGGTAATCCCCAAAGTTGGCAACTGAGGAATTTGCTGGCCCAATAAAATAAATTGGATGCTGGGCATTTTGCACACCCCCAGCTCCAGCCATGAGGTGTTCCCTCTCACTCCCCGTAAGACCGCCTTGCCGACATGTGACTCTCACCGGCAGGAGCGTGCCCTGGGGCTTCTGCGGGCTTCCCAGCAGCCCAGAGCATCACGCAGAACCAGATACGCACACGCCTCCTTGTTCCAAAGAGGAGGCACCGACCACCTGCGAGCAGGCAGCTCTTTTTTAAGTCTTTTTGCCAAAGAAGAAAATTAGTGTCCACTCCATCTTCCCCCTTCTTTTCCGCTGTTGATTACGCTCCTTGGGAACTGGGTGGCAAGTTGAGTGTCCTTTGGTACAAGGAGCCACGTTCGTAGCTGATTCACCTGTAAAATGACAGGATTAAACCAGGGCCCCTTCAGTCACCTAAGCTGTGTGTGTGGTACAGCGTCCAACACTGCCCACTCCCCAGAGGCGGGTGCAGGCCATTGTGTGTGTGAGCAAAGAAAGCCTCCCTTTGTCCCAACTGACTTCTAGAAAGAACACACCTGTCCCCTCCTGACTGCAGTTTCTAGGCAGTGAGTTAAGGCCCGTCACCTGTGTGTCCCCCTCCTTTCCTGCTGCACGTGGCGGCGGTGACGGGTCTCGGCTAGCCTGGCCCTTCCGACTGCTAACTGGCTTGTGTGTTTTGTGTTCCAGTGCAAGCATCTCTTGGCAGTGTACCTCAGCCAGGTGACAAGCACCTGTCAGCAGCTAAGTGTCTCTGATAAGCAACTGACTGACATACTGTTGACGGAAAAGACACATGAAGCCTGAGAGGTACCGCCTGAGCATCGTTATCTTTCAAAATAGAAGTGCCATCAGGAAACGCACTTGACCTGCCGTGGTTCACGTGGAAGGGAAGTGAAGCCGACTCCTTGTTGCTGCCCCTCTTGTGTCCTGGACTGCAGGAGGGGCTGTGGGTTGGAACCCACGATGTACATATGGTTTGAAGCCCCCATGAAAAATGTGACCCAGCTTCTGAGCCCCTGGGGCACAGAATTTCCAGATAGATTCAAGCATTTTAGACCCAAAGCCTAGTATCATATCGTGTCCACAAGCAGATTCCCAAGTGACTAAAGTTTGGTAATTTTTAAGAGGTTGGGATGGTGGACAAACCAATAAGATGAAGGTCAGATGAATGAGGGTTACTTCTTTTCCTCGGGTCCAGGAAATTTCTGCAATAAAAGATCAGAGCAGAGCTGTGGCTAAAAGGCAGCAAGCAGGAGAAGACTCGGGGGTTCTGGCTGCAGTGAGCTGCTGGCATCGGTGGTGCTGGTGCCAAAACAGCTTGTGAAATGGACTGTGTTGTGAGGAAGGCAGAATTGAGAATCAGGAAGTGCTGGCTTGCTCTGCATGCGTTTCTGAGCTTTGTAACGGCAGGAAGGGAGGGACTAAACTCACATTCCAAAGAAGCTGGAGATGCTACTGTGGTTTCCAGCCTGAAGAAGGAAAGATGAAAGAGACTCCAAGAGGGGTACTGAAAGGGAGAGAAACTGGGGCTTGGGACGCGTTCGGACCCCAGGGGAGTGCAGAGGAGCAAGGATGGATGAAAGTGGAAATGAGGCAGATCTCAGCCCAGGACGGGAACTTCTTATAGGGAAAGCTGTCTGAGAACAGGATCCTCAAAGGACAGGCATCCCCTGTCTCCGCAGCGTCCCTCCTGCGGGAGGAAGGGAGTCGGTGCACAGGCCCGTGACACAGATGGCTGGCGGCTGAGGAGCCCCCCGCCCCATGCCCCCGCAGCCTGCGGGTGAGCGCGACGCGGATGCTGCAGCCTTTTGTGGTGCTGAGCTGGGCAAACGCAACCCATCAGAACTTCAGTACGTGGGAGCTGGGGCTTGGGTGCAGACTGGTTTTTTAAGCAGTCTTCAGGATAGAGAACAGACGGGCTGGTGCAGCTCTGCACAAGCTGATGCGGCCCCTAATCTCGTTTGTTTGCTTTATTTTTTCACCTAACATACAAACACAGTTATATAACTTAACTCAGTAAAATTTTCACACTTTGGGTTCCAACAACTTGGCCAAACTTGAACTTGGGAGGGAAGGAAGATTCACCGTCCGGCTCTAGAGGGGGAGGGGAGCCTGGTGGAGGCGGGGCCCCACTTCTCCAGGGTCTTCCTCCCGGGCAGTTTGCTGTCTGTGGACAAGACTGTTATCAAACCCTGTAAGAGGATCCTCCCCCTACATTAATAGAGCAGTTTCTTGATTGAAGCATTATACTTTAAATTCTCCTGGTCACCTTCCTCGGAACAAGTATATATATTTTAGTATGTCCAACTTTTCCCATTACCTCTACGTTAAAAAAACATTTGTTATTAAAACAGTTCACAGTGTTTCACAGTAAAATAACTTCAATCATTTTCTACCATGAAAGACATAGACTCTTAAGAAAACAATGCAGTCTTTCCCAGTCCATCAGCATCGCCCACACGGTAAGAGCAGCCAGAGAGAGCGGCAGGTACACCTGCCAGCCCTCAGAACGCATTCACAACACGGACACGTTAACTAGGAGTGTGGTCGCTCCAGGGAGGTGCTTGCAAGAGGCCACCACTTGCCTGGGAGGTGGAGCCGTCTGTCACCTTGAGAATCTGCCAGCCGTGTCCGGTCCCTTTGTCCCTGTGAATCTGTGCCTTCTCATCCCTGAGGCCAGAGCCTGGGTCACAGGCTCACATCGAGAGTAGGCTGTGGCCCCACTGGCCCGTCCCCACTCTTGAGGACGTCCGTCTGGCAGAGTACATACCTGGAGATGATCCTGTGAAACATGCAGCGGAAGTCTCGGTTCCGGTAGGCGTAGACGATGGGGTTGACAACCGAGTTGGCGTGGGACAGGAGGATGGCCGTGTTCATCACCCACCTGGGCTTCTCCTTGGCCCAGGCTGGCTGAAAAAGTGTGGCACAGTTGATGGCATGGACCGGGAGCCAGCACAGAGCGAAGATCCCAACGATCATGGCCAGGGACTTGGCCACGTGGATCTCTCGCTGGAGGACGGTCCTCGAGTGGTCCCTCAGCTCCGTGCGCTGGAGCTGCCTGCAGGCCACCGTGAAGATCTTGACGTAGATCGCCAGCATGGCGAGCAGTGGGGGCAGGACGCACCCAAAGAAGTTGAAGTACACCATGTAGCTCATGGGGACCACGTTCTCGAAAAGACACTTGACGCGGCAGCAGCTGTCGTTGGCGGGCCTGTCCCCGGGCTCCGTGCAGTTGGTGGCACTGCCTTTGCCTCTGTTCCACCCCAGGAACGGGGTCAGGCCAATGCCAAAGGCAAGGACCCAGAGCACAGCGATGACTGCTCGTGCTCGGGCGCCCGTGACCAGGCTCTTGTACCTGTTCAAAAGAACGCCATCTGTTATGGTCAGTTTACAGTATCCGGCGACCAAAGTCCAAGATGCCCCTGTGCCTCTGGCTCCACGGCCTTTATTCCTAACAGCCTCCAGGCCCCGCCTTGGGGCACCCCGGCCTTTCACCCTCAGCATGGAGCAGCGCTGCTCCAACAGGCTGAATACGATTTTCATTCTTGAGTGGTTAACTCGCCCCTGTCTAGTGACACGTCCTGGTGACTGAGGACAAGTGGAGAATTCTGGAAGGGTGCCTCCTAATCACCCACATACTGACCTGGGGCCCAGGTCTCCTATGAGACGGTTCTAGGTGGTCAGGATACGCCAGGGGACAGAACACACGAAGATCCCTGCTTTTCAGGGACTTAGGTTCCAGGAGGAGGAGACAGATCACGATAGACAACAAGCACAGGCTGGGAAGTGGTGTGGGGAGTCAGGAGGAGGTATGTGCAGTGTGAAAAAGGAACAGCAGAGCAAGGATGAGCGGGCGTGGCAAGGCCTGCACTTCACAGAAGTCGGTCAGGGAGGCTTCGTGGACAAGGCGACACTTGAACAGCAGCCCAAGAGAGTTGGGTGGCAGCTGGTGACCCCGGGCGGGCGTCCTTCTGGTCTCCCACAAACACACAGAGGTCTGCCTTGGACCACAGGGAAATCACCCCCCAGACACCCCTATGAAAGGTGGGAGAACAGGAGTTTGGCAACGTCCCTCTCTCTCAGCTAGAAGCGAAGTTGATAAAAACTGGGAAATAACTTAGCAAATATTAAAATTTTTCCAGTAATTTTTCAAGCATTAAGTCTTTTTTAAAAATCTCTAGAAACCATAATACGCATTTTGGACATTCTCCTGTAAGCTAGTCCATCCGTGTTTGCAGCAGCGGGATAAACTGCTACTAGTGACTGGTCAGTAGTATGGATTCAGGATAATGTACGGAGAAACGTAACCTCTGGGAAGGAAACTGGGAAACGACAGGATACACGTTAGCGTAACGCCTGTGCGTGGGAAGCATCCGACCTCTGCCTCACGCGGCCCACGGACCTCAGCTCCACCGCGTGCCCGGCGCCCGCCGCTCCTGGCCGCGCGGCTCGCAGCACTGGACCAAGTCCTGTTCCCGCCTCACAGGCCATCTGTCCTCACCGCCTCTGAGGCAGAGGCGGCCACTTCACTTTCTGGCCCCAGACTCACACCTGTCACAGAGCTTGTTTATCTGTTACATGTGTTTTCCCCTCAACTGGAATGTTCACCCTCTTCAGGGTTTGGACCGTGTCCCTTTGTGATGCAACCCCAGGGGCCAGCACAGGGCCTGGCACAGGGGAGGCCCAGGAATACGTCGGGCTACAGATGTGTTCCTGGTGGGTTCTCTGACAGCTCTAAAACGAGATTCCGCTCACTAGGAGTACCCGACGCCTGGACAGGCAGGAGCGCTGACAGTTTGCTGAGGAAGTTGACTGAGGTCCTGCCCATAACTGACCGTGATCTCAGTCTTCTCTGCCGCCCACGAGGGCAGCTCAGTTGTGGGGCCTTGGCTACAGATGACCTGTTGGTCTCAGCTGCTCACTGAATTTTTCTTGGCCAATAAATCCATCTATTTCCAAACCCTTTCTGCTTCCCTCCTCATCCAAGAATATAAAGCCATTCCTTATCAAAATGTTATTCCTGGCCATTGCCCTGCCAGAGGTGTGAAGACTGCAGCCCGACCCTGCCGGGGAACAGGGCAGAACCGCTGAGGTGACAGGACGCTGGCCGCACGCGCGGCCTGCCCTTCCTCCTCGTGCTCATAGGACCGCACTGAGCTGCGTGCAGCTGAGCACAGGGCAGCCGGGTGGCGCCGCAGGTCCAGGTAAGCAGACTCGTCAGCGACGGCCTGGGGTGGATCCGCAAGGCGGTCCTGGCCAGCGAGACAGAAGGAAGTCTGCCAGGGCACTTCCAGGAAAGACTCTACTTGGCCAGAGGGGAGATACCCGCGAGGAGAGCTCTTCCTTACGCCCACCCCGTTCTGCGTTTAATGCTCTTACAGGGTCTGCGACGCCCAGAGCTGCAGCAGCCATGTTGTGAGCAGGAGGGATGAGCCTGAGGACGAGCAAGTGGCGAAGCAGAAAGAAGGACATCCCGCACCAGCACACCAACCCCAGGGCCACTGCAGCTCCGTATCTGAGCTCAGGAGATAATTACCTTCAGTGCGTAAGCCACTGTTACCTGCAACCAAAGCACACTCATACAAACTGAGGGGACGTTCATCTTTTCTAGTCCCACTCCCCTTGTTTTACAAGCCAGGAAACACATACAGGGTCTTTGAGTAACAAAGAAAATAGAAGAACTGTGAACAGACAACCAGGTCCTACTGCACAGCACAGGGAACTATATTCAGTGCCGTGTGACAGCCTGTAATGGAAGAGAGTCTGAAAAGGAGCATACGTGGGTGTAACCGAACCACCGTGCTGCGCACCAGAAACCAGCGCGACACTGCAAACCGACTACACTTTAATTAGAAAAAACAAAACAAAACAAAAGAACCAGAGACCAGAGCTAAGGCAGGACTTCCGGGCCTGTGTTCCTCAGGCTGCTGCTTCTGTTACGTGACTTTTTTAAGCAACGTTAGACGTGGATTAACTAATCCCAGGGGGTGGCTTCCTGCTAGAGTTCAAAACAACAAGCGAAGTCCACCCACATCTGAACCTCTCAGAGCTGCAGGGTCCCGCACCCGTGAAAGACGGCTTTCATGCTAACCTGTCCCAGGTGAGGGCTTCATCAGGGCAGCTTTCTCTGGGGACCCCCATCTCGGCCTTTCTGCCGAAGGTTCACTACTCCACTCAGATTCTTCCTCCGTCCCGGGCGCCCTGCTCGGCACCGGGAGCGTGATCCACAGCCCTCAGGGGCCGTGACGCCCGTAGAGGAGACAAGATGAACAGGTAAAGAGGCAGACGTGTACCTGCAAATCAGAGTGAGTCTGGCCAAAGCAAACAAACGGTGCAGATCAGAGAAGAACCGGAGGGCCCTGGACACGGGCTGTCAGGAGGGCCTCTTACGCAGAGCTGACGGCGGGGGAGTGAGAATTTTGAGAAGGGGGGTGAAGAGCGTTTCTGGCAGACAGAACAGAATGTGTCAGGCTTTCGGGCAGGAAAGGATTTTACTTTCCTAGAGAAGCAAAAGGAAACGTGAATGAGCCTCAGATAAAGTGGGAACAGTTCCCAGGCCGTGGGAAGGAAGCCGGATTCTGACCCTTGACAGCAGCGGGAAGCCCCTGAGGGCCCTGACTGAGGTCTCGTGAAGCTCCCAGTCTGGAGACTGAGTGTCAGGAGAGCAGAGCCGTCAGGACACTGCTTCAGCGGTGACGGCAGGAGAGGACGCTGACGCACCGGGGACAGGCGCTTTGGGAGCAGGAGCAACAGGTCCTGACGATGGACTGGGTGTCGGAAGACGAGGAACAAGGCTCGAGGGAGCATTGGAGAAGAGGCTGAGGACCAGGGACGTGGTGACATCCCACAGAGCACAGGGCGTGCAAGGCGAGGTGGGGCGTGGGCCCAGTCCACCGGGGGACACAGAGCTGTGGGGGTGAGAATTAAGCAAGTTGTTTTCTGAGGACCTGAAATACTTGGCTAATGCGGAAACGTCAAACCCGCATCGCCATTTTCATCTTAAATGTGCCAGTGGTACTTGAAATTGTGCAGTGGGGGGACGAGAGTTCGCCGTCCATTTCATCATCCCAGACAAGCTCTCCTTCCTGACGTCCTGCTCGCCGGCAGGCGCTTTCCCATCCCAGCGGCCTTTGAACCACATGACCAAACGCCAGGTGTGGGAGACACATGCCTGCTAAGCCCTCCCGGCCGCACGGGACACATCCGAGCGCTGAGCGTCCGCAGCCCGAACACCTCGTGTGCCTGGGACGGCACAGCTGCGTGTCCTGGTCCCAGATGTGGAAGCTGAGGCGCAGAGGTTCAGGGACGCCCTTGCTGCCTCTGCACCACCATGGGGTTACAAACCCAATCTAACTGGGTTCCAGCTTCGCCAGGAGCAGTCACTGCCCTGCCCGGGACGCCACGGCCCTTCTCACACAGCCCAGCCTGGGCAGCAGCTTCCTCCCCAGGCACGTCTGCCCTCCTCGGAGTGCTGTCCGAGGCGCTGCGAGCGCCCCGCCCCAACTCTGGAGCCAGCCCGTGGGAACTGGAGACTTGGAGGAAGAGGCCTCTGCCGCCCTCCTGGCAGGCAGTTCTTAAAAGGCGGCAGAGAGACTCTCCAACTCTTTATTCTGTCGGCGGACACAGCCAGACCCAAGGAGAGGGCTGGGCTCCAGAGGCGGAAGCATGATCAGCACCGGAGCCGGGGCTCCACAACGGCGGGTGTCAGCGGCCCCGAGGCGTATGCCTGGGCCCCGGCACAGGTGGCACAGGGCCAGGGCGCCGCGATGCCCCTGCACGGGGCGGGAAGCCGGGGGGGACGACCCCCGGGGCTCTGGTCACCTCCCACCGTGCCCTCTCTTTGCCCACTTCCAGCTGGGCCTCTGTCCTCTCCCAGGTGCCCGGCTACCCCGGCTCCCCAGGCCCCACCTCTGCTCCCTGCCTGCGGTCCCCACCTTGCTCCCCAGGTACCGGTGGCCTCAGAACCTGCGTGTGTGTGTCCCCAGATCATTCCTGCAAGGCTGGGAAAGTGTCCTTTCCTACATCTGCCCCTGGCAGGTCCCTGCTGTGCTGTGGCGCTGTGCACGGCGGTGAGGCCTGGGAGCCGGACACACGCCCCAAGTGCAGAGACGAAAGTGAAAGGCAGTGTCCAAACGACCACAGGAAACACAGGCGGCTTGGTCATTCCAAGCAAGCGGCAGCCGCTCCAGGCACACAGCAGGGCGCTCCGGGGAAGCGCAGGCCTCGCCCACAGCTCAGAGACCGACAGGCAAGCAGGCACGTGGAGGGCGCAGCGCTAGGGTGCAGGGTGGACAGAGAGGTTAGGGGTTGCGTAATGGAAGGGGACCACCAAGCCTGCCTGACGAGGACTGGCCTATTTCCGGGCCAGGGTCCCCTCCTCCGCTGGCTCGGCAGCCCTCCGCTCAGGCCAGGCCGCCTTCTCAGCCTCCGAAATCAGAATCCCCAGCTCTCAGGGTGCCCTCAGCCCAGCAGATCCCAAAGGGTCTCCACCCTGGACGGTGACACCACGCGGGGCCAGTCCCAGCGAGGGCTGGATAGACTCTGAGCTCTGTCAGCAGAAAGCGGGGTAACAGTGGCCGCAGGACCCCATGCTGCCGGGTCTTTAAACACAGATACGTCGCGCAGAGAGCCCCCTGTGAACGCAGCTCACTGAGCACACGTGGAGTTCTGTTCTGCTGCTTAAAATGCTGACTGCTAAGTTTAGGGACCTTTTCCTTTCTGTTCTGTCTCAAGTTTCATGCCTCTGTAATACAAACGCTTCTGCTGTAAAGCAGTATCTACATTCTCAGAAAACTTCATGTTCTCTGAAATTACACCCAGATACAATAACAGGACTTACGTGAAAACGGGGTTAGGGCCGACCACTCAAAACCTACAAAATGCTGTAACCAGAGCTCTGACAAAAAGAATGACTTGCAGCACCCAGGCAGGCGGGGTCAGCGGGGCTGGAGGCTGCCTCGGTGCATATTAAAAATGTACCCAAAACGTCTAATGGACACTGGCAAGACTGTAACTAGAGCAAGGCTGATAGGTGCCAAGACAAGGCAGATGACAGCAGAGTTCCGAGCGGGGCCTGTTCCCAGGCTGGCGGCATATGCCCAGCAGGCACTGTGGCCGAGCCTGGCAGGCTGGGGCGCAGCTTTCTGACGGAGAGGCCCAGGCATGGCAGCGTTTTGCTCCTGTTGATCCTGGGAGCCCCGAGGCCCTCCTGCTGCACAGCTGTCAAGCCCTGGGCTTCTCTGTCTCCTGCTGAAGCTGGGGACGCCAGCCCCACTGTCCCAGCTCCGTACCCCGGGGCAGAATCCCAGATGAGCCACACCACAAGGCTTTGCACTGTACCGACGTCCCACCCCTGCTCTCCTGTCACCCGGAAGCAGGCCGGTCCATACGGAGGTGCACCACCATGTGCCCGGTGAACCCTGATTCCCGCATCACCCCCGTGCGCCGCCCGCTGAGCCGTGCGCTCCTCACCGCAGAGACTCTGCCTTAGTACCATGCATCCAGAACACCTAACCCTGGGCCAGCAGGCCAACGGTGAGGAAGGGCCCACGTTTCTGAGAAAGGAACAGGACGCTGGGCTCTCGGCACACGCACACGCTGCACACCGTCCTGGCGGCGCTGAACAAAGCAAGCTGTGGGTGTGTGGTTGCACCCCCAGCTTCAGCTGAGAGCTCATGAAGGCCCTCTGTGCAACAGGGACTTTCTCTTGCTCAACAGCTGGTTGCTTCCCACTGAGTTAACGGGGCTTATAAACACTGTCTGGAACAGAAGAAACAGAAACTCTGCAGGGCACCGTGTCTATTAAAGAAACAGCACAAAAAGCTTCCCCCACAGAAAGCTGAAGACCCAGACGACTCCACTGATGAACTGCAGCAAGAGCAGGAGAAACCAATAAAACCACTTCCACACAGAAAGAGCTGTTTGGCTCTATTTATACGATGATCTGCGCGTGGGGAGAAGTCTCTGCGCTGCCGTTTGTGGTAAATGTTGGGGGCAGCCTGTCTCGTCTCTACGGCCTGACCTCATCAGGGCCCTGGCCTGTGGGGCCGCCTGCGGCCAGGACACCACCTGCCCAGCCACCAGGCAGCAGGCCGCCAGAGCCGGCCTTTCCGCTGAGCTCCGAGGAGGCCCGGACCCTCGGCCACCCTGGCCCCTGGGGGTTCTCGTCTCCTCCTGCAGTCAGACCTGCCTGCACCCCGGCGGCGGCCTGGCCAGGGCCCGGGCTGAGCCCACAGGTGCAGGCGGTAGGAGAGGTGCCGCCGTCCTTCCCAGTCACCCAGGGCCAGCAGACAAGGAGCAGGCAGCAGAAGGGACGGCTGGCAGCCCTCCCCACCCGCGTGCGAGAGGACGCTGTCCAGTGTGGCCTGACAGTGACTAGCCCCCTGGAGACTGAGGGCGGGGCGGGACCAGGCCCCCGGGTCACCTCTCAGGCTGTTCTTTGACCCAGCTCACACATTGGTCTCCTGTATCGCGTGGGACCTGGGGGCAGCCCAAGGCCGCTGGGCTCCGGACGCTGAAGCCCTCCCGAGAAGTAGGACCCCTGAGAGAAAAGGCCACTGCCTGCACCTGGACCAGAGAAGAAGGACGCCTGCTGACCCTGACCTCGCAGAAGCACCCTGCCGGGGCTGGGGCTGAAACGCACCACGCTCCAGGTGCAGCACCGGGAGCGCGGCGGCCACCACGTGCACAGGCGAGCAGCGGGCAGGGACATGCGGCAGCAGGGCAACCGTGCCCGTGATGCTGGCCCTGGCTGCCCGGCCGTCCCAGCGTCCGCCGTGCCCCTCCGCGGTGAGCCCTGCCCCTGTGTCATCAGCGGGTCCCCTGTGGGCCACCCTGCATCTCTGTGAGTATCTTGGCTCTCATCAGGCTTCCCCAGTGAGTTTTATCACCTACTGCCTATTCTTGCCTGGACCAGTTATTACTATGACAGCTGCCAGATGATGATCCGCTTAACTCAGCTATTCCTACTCATTAATTAGACGGCATTCTTCTGGAAGCAAGAGTTCTTCCAAGTCACTATTAAACACAAAACAAAACAAAACACCTCTCCTAGCTCTGCTCATTGCGAGGGCCTGCAGCAGCAGTGAGCACACCCACCCTGGTCTTGGCTTCGAAATACTGTTCTCCACGGAAAGGAGACGGGGCGCCTTGGGGAACGGCTGGTGCCCAAACTAGACAACACAGCGGGAGCCTGTGCCAGAAGTAAGGAAGTGCTCAAACTGACGGGGAGCTCAAACACAAGTGAACTAGAATGGGCTCCCACTCGCCAACTCTGGGCATCAAAATGAATAAAGGAATGGATTATAACACACTGAATGAAAATAAAATTCCCTAAGCCCACTGGCATTTAAAACAGTTTAAGGAAGAGCAGGGAAAAGGTAAACCTCTTCTCTACAGAAGAATGCTGACTAGGAAGGTGGAAGGACTGAGAAACAGTAAAATTACCATTTTACATGGTAATCGCTGATCCAGGCGAGAAGCAGCCAACAGGGAAACCACACCTTACGGCGATGAATGCTGGCAGACACGGCCACGGCCACGGGGTGAGACCCAACGCAACAGCACCGGGACAGACGCACCCTGCAAGCCTCTGCGGGCGGCGGGCTGACGTGGACACGGTGTCACGGGGACGGCTTCCCACCAAGAGTGTCCAACCTGAATCTACCCACAAGGAAACAACCAAAGCCAGAGTAAGGCACCGTCTTGAAACAGACGGGGGACGAGAGACTGAGGAACGCTTCCAGATTAAAGAAAACTAAAGGAGCATGTGAAGTGCACGCATGATCTTTTACTGGAAGCTGGATTTAAAAAAAACTTTAAAGACCATGATCGGGTTAGTTGGGACATCTAAGTAGACTGTACTGTGTCAGTGTTAGAACTCCTGAGTGTAGCTCTGTGTGTGTCTGTAAAACACAGACAGCAAATGTAGCAAAACATGAACATGGGAATTTGTATCAGTTTTGCAACATAGAAATTGTGGAAAATAAACACTAGTTCAGAATGACTTATTCTTTCTGAAACTACAAACCACATGAGATTAGTCGAATGGATACAAACGTACACACACACACACACACACACACACAAGTGTATGTACACACACGTCCAGGTACAGATACACAAATATATATGCATACAAATATCTCTTTCAATAGCTGAGACTTCTTAAAGGTTACAGAATGAATGCAGTGTGTGTGTGTGTGTGTGTGTGTGTGTAAGGGCACACACTGCATTCATTTTGTAATTTTTAAAAAGTCCTAGCTACTGACAAACTCCGTGTCTAGTGATTTCTGAAAATGCCCACGTTGGGAGCTATGCATGCCTCTGCAGCGCTGCTGACGTCTCCTCGCTGGTTTTGGCGAAGCTCGTCTGGATCCCCCTCCTCCCTCTCCTGCTCGGCCCCCCTCGGGCTCTCACTTGTCCCCTCTATGTGCTGATGACACCCTCCACGGGCTTCTTGGGTCTCAGCAGCAAGCTCGTCCCTCCCTATCAGGGCAGGTCCCACCAGCACACACGCATGTGCACGCACACACACACACTGCCCCCTCCTCAATGTGTCACAAGCTGGTAACTGGACCACCTACTGGAGATAATGGGGGAACAGCATGAGCCCTGCTTATAATGGAGAAGGAAAGGTGACCTTCAACTAATTAAAAATAATTAAGAAAACACCTGCAAGCAGGCAGAGAGCTGCAAAGGAACCCCGGGTACCTCCCAGGAGGAGTGCTGAGAAAAGTAGGAAGAGTCGGCAGGTAAGGAGCATCCCAGGCAGAGAGAACGGCACGTGCAAAGGCCTGGCTCCGTAAGTCAGGAACTGAGGGGGTCCGGCAGCAGGGCAGAGAGCAAAAGGAGGCAAAGGCGGGGTGAGGCTGGAGGAGGGAGGGGGCCAGTGCCAGGCGGGCGTCCCAAGGCGCTGGGAGCATCAGGTCCAGGAAGGAGGTGCCGTCAGGTTTCCATCTGAGAACGGCTGCCGCTGGGCGGAGGGTGGCTGAAAGGGCAGGAGGGAGGCTGAGAGCCCAGGTCCTGGAGCAGCGGATGTGGCGGGGGAGTGGAGATGGGAGCCCAGAGAAGTGGCTGCTGGAGGGTTCAGGAAGTGCCGCTGACAGGACGTGCTCTGCGATGCCTTTCCACAGAGCTTCACTGTCTCCACACACTGGTGTCGAAGTCAGCGCTGGAAATCAAGACGTCATACAGAAAGCTGCTCTGGGAAGGTTGTGGGGGCAGGGCTGGACAAACCAGGCAGTAAACCAGAGAAGGGGGGCTGAGAGCGGGCGAGGAGCCGGTCTATGCTGAACAGCCCAGGGGCTGGAGGATCAGACGATGCTGTGCTGGCAGCATCAGGACCGGTGGGGTCCAGAGCCAGAACCGTGGAGGACGCAGGGCCCCAGACGCCACCACGGACTGCCCAGCTCCACCTGAGGCAACACTGTCCCAAAGCCCCCATGTCTCCAGGATGGCGCCCCACCAGCCACCCAGAAATCTGGGGTCACCCTGCACTCTTCCTCTCCCTGAAGCCCAGCATCCTACTGAGTCAGCAGGTCCCCTGAGCCTGTCCCCGCGGTCCCGCCCTCCAGCCACGGGCACGCCCCTCAGTCCACGGGTCCAGAGACCCCCGCCGACCGCCCGGGCTGCCGAGGCCTGCGGGTCTCACACTCTCGGCTCAGCCCGCCTGGCCCCACCCGCCCCGGCTCTGGTCCTCGCTCGCTGCCTGTACTTCCAGGGCCCGTGTCCGGGGCTCTGCTTGGCTCTGTGGCTTTACCGGCAGCCCCTCTGCTCTGAAGTTGGCCAGACAGCTTGGCTGGCATCGCATACTGGTCTCCCCTGGGGGAGGATTTCAGATTTCATGCATCTCAAATACCTCTCGATTGTACCTGCATCTCCAGAGCCTCTGCCTCAGTCATGCCTTCTTCCTCGTCGCCTGGATGACAGCAGGCCACCCTCTGTGATCTTGTCCCCTCCAGCCCACCCCCGTTGTCCCCCACAGTAGCTGTTTTATGATGCAAACCTGACCACAGCAAACCCCTGATTAAAGTCCTACCCTGGACTGCCAGGTCCCACCCAATTGTCACCTCCCAGAAAATCCCCTTTAGATGACAGTAGAAAAACAAAAGAGGAAATAAATTCATAACCATCCCCAAAATGGAAGTGGAAAGTGACATCCAGCAAACCAGAGACCTTGATGAGTTTCTAGAACCCAGGTGGCAGACGGGATCATGAGGATGGGGCCTGGAGCCTTAAACTGGAAACAGGGATGACAAGGAAGAGAGGCTACAGGCTGGCTGACAGCAGGTGCCAGAACGGAGCAGAGGTCAAGGGAAAGTGCCTGCTGGCCAGCCTGCGGGTGGCCTCGCCCGCCCAGCCAGTGTCCCCCACCTCCCGCAGAGCTGGGCACGCACCCCTCCTGCTCCCACCCTCTCCCCAGGCTGGAGCCTGACCCAGAGCCGGAGGACGGGGCCGGGGAAGAGGTTTGGATACGTATACTCTGCCACAGCAAGAATCCGAACCATGTGAATCCAAAAAGTTCTCAAGATCGACTGAAAAAAATTTAACCTTAAATCCAAAGTGAAAATATAAATGCTAAAACTAAAAAAGAAGAAGAAGAAGGGGAGGAAAAAGTCAAGGACCCTTTCAGGGAGAATGAGAAGCTGAGGTGCCGGGACCTCGCAGGTAAGAGAACGTTTGGGAGATGAGCTCAGTCACGGAGGGGACCCACCTTCCCCTCGAGCATCCCAGAAGGAAGAGCCAGAGTGGATGGGGACAAGGAGGCAATCCAGGAGAGGAACTACTCTAGAAAAACCATTTTTAAACATCTCAGAGCTGAAGACAGACCTGAGCCTTCAGACTGGAGAGGTTCTCCTCCTGGTGCCATCGCCAAATGAAGGGGAAAAGCTGAAACTCAACTTTTAGACCCGACCTCATGGCATTTCAGGATGCCAGGCAGAAGCAAGTGACCCCAACGGCTTCCAGGGGAAACGTGAGTTACGAAGGAGAACGCCACCCACAGCGGACCTCTCGAGCCACACGGGGTGTTCCCACAAGTGCCGTCGGGCTCCTGGGCCCACGTCCAGCCAAACCACCAAGCATGTGGGAGAAATCTAGACATTTCTGGCACGTAAGAGCCCGAGTCCTGAAAGAGCCACCGAAGGCTGACATACAAACAAACAAACGTGGGCTCCCAGAAAGACGGAAGAAGAAAATGGGGAATGCAAGACCCGGTCGGGCGACCCCGAGACTGTGTTGCAGGGGCCGCTGCGGGACCTGCCAGGAGCACCGTCTCCCGAGAGGACAGCTTTGGTGACCCGAGTCCTACTTCCGCATCCTGGCCGATGAGAAACACACGGCTCCAACACCACAGATGCCGTTTCTCGGTTTCCGCTCTTGGACGTCCAGGAAACTTTATATGACAGTTACAGAATAAAACGCAGGCGCTCTTGACCCTGACGGCGCAGGAGGCAGCCCACAGCGGCAGCCGCACAGGGAGGGCAGGGCACAGGGAGGGCGGGAGGGAGGGAGGGAGCGACATCTCCTTGTTTTCCTGGATGGACAACAGCCACTGCCTACAAGTGATGGGATCAGACGCAGAGGCTGAAACAGGAACCCCAGGAGGAAAACCAAAATGTAGCAACAGCTGGAAGGAGCGGGCGGGAAGGGCTTGGGGAGGCAGATCAGTGGGTTCTGTTTAAGGATGGTGGCGCAAGCCCGGGTGTCACCAGAGAGTGACCCTTGGAACCGGCCTGGGGCTGCCCCTCACGGAACCCTAGCACCGGCCTTCCAGAAGCAGCGCTGCTCCCTCCCACAGCCCCGGCTGGGTTAGCCTGCCGAGAGCCGTGAGCCCGGGGCGTCTGTTCTCACTTTCATTCTTTCAAAGAAGGGACGCTTGCTCTTTGCCGCTAAGCCTGTCAGCCTCTGTGAGGGCACAGTGAATGGCTTCCCCAGGCGAGAGGGACCGCAGGGAGGGGCCAGGGGAAGGTGGGGCCTCAGTCCCTGCACCTGAGGAAAGAGGGAGTGGGGAGATGCCCAGGGCGGGGCAGCTGTAAGTCACGCCCTCCGGCCGGCCGAGGAGCGGCGCCTCCTCCCTCGGCCACGATGCCCTGATGCTGTCCTGGGACACCAGGAGGGTCCCGACCACGGTCCTCTGGTGTCCTCACTCATCCGCTCGAGAGGGGACCTCTCACCATGGGGCGTTCTGGATGGCCGCAGGTGGCAGCCTCTCCCTCCCACTGTTCACACGGGGGCCAAAGGCTCCCAGGACGACAGGCTCCCCAGGCCTGGCTGTGTGACCCTGGGCAGACAACCCTCTGAGCCTTGCTTTCCCCACCTGCAGAGTCGGAAGGTCACGGCATCGCTGTCATAAGAAGAGCACATAGGGGCCCAGACCCAGAAAAGGGCAAGAATGGTGGCTGCCCACGACCGTGTTACGAGGTTTGGGGACCGGAGCAGCAGGCGCACAACTGCTCACACCTGTCCCCGCGGCCGCACCTGTGCTGTGACCGCGGCCAAGAGAGGACAGTGAGGTCGAGACTGGGGCCCACAGGGTCCCAGGCCACCTGCCATGTGAAAAGCTCTCTCTCCAAGTGATCAAAGGCAGCTCCGGGCTTTCCAGAGCTCTGTGCCCACTTGGCGGGGACCCAAGGCAGGCCCACTCCCCCGCACGCAGGCTGCGGCCTCATCTACAGAGGGGCTTCTGGTCACTGGGGGCTCCCGCTGCTCTCCAGGCAGCTCCAGGTCAGGGCCCCAGGGCAGGCCTCAGATGGCCAGGGGGGACCCTCCTTCCCCAACGCCCACCTCCTCCCCACTCTGCGGCTCCCAGGTGCTCCTGGACGACCCCTCGGCTGTGTGGCCTCTACCCCCAGCAAGGCCCAGGACCTCCAGGCACACCGACTGGAGAGCGGCTCTAGGGGAGCAGGAGAGGAGTGGGGGCTCCCAGCAGGACCTGGTCGGGAGCTGCTGGAAGACGTGTGTGACAAGGCCCAAGAAGGACCCTGAGATTCTATTGAAAAGGGGCCTTGCAGGGGTGACCTGACAGGAGCGGTTCAGTGGCACCATGGTGACAGAGGTGGAGGCAGTGACACCGGAAGATGTGTTAGAGGAGTTTCCTGGGGAGGAAACGCAGGACGGGGCCAGTGCTGGGGGAGGGGGAAACGAATGGTGGCTTCCTGAGGCCCCTGGAACAAGGCGTCACACACTTGGTGGGGGCTCAGAGTACTCACACCCCCAGTTCTGGAGGCCAGAGGCCCGAAACACAGGCAGGGCCACGTTCCCTCCGAGGCTCTGGGAGAACCAGTTCCAGTCCCCTTCCAGCTTCTGGGGCCGCCCAGTGTCCCCTGGCTGTGGCCGCATCCCTCCTGCCTCTGCCTCATTGTCACACGCTGCCTCCTTCCTCTCCACAGCTACTTACACAGATGAGATTGCACCTCGGGGCCAGCGGAGCACCCTGGGTGAGCCGCTGTGCCTGAGATCCACGTGGGGGGATGTCCATCTGTCTCCCACGTGAGGCGGGGACTCGAGCGTGGACAGCTTTCTGGGCCACCATTCACCCTCATGGATGAGCTCATCTGGAAGAAGAAGCGGCACTGACCTAGAAGGGGGCCCCCAGGCAGGGCTCCTTGGGGAGGCGGCAGGGGCACCCAGAGCTGACGCCTCCTTTCCCAGCTTGTGTCAAAACAAAACAACAGCACAGGTGCATTTTGTCACGTGGGAAGCGTAGCTCAAATTTTAAGAAAGAGCGAGCTCTGGAAAAAAACACCCCGAATCCTCTGCCAACACCCTGCAGTCCCGTCACCTAGGAGGGGCTGAGGAGAGGCCACCCTGCCACCCAAGGTGCAGTCCTGCTAAAAAGTCCCCAGTCCCATCGTCCCAGAGAGGACCTGAGAGGCCCCAGGAAGATACCTCCACCTGCCAAAGGGGGCAGGAAGGTGAGCGGGTGAGGGTCCACTGACAGGGGGCAGACAGACAGACATGCCTCACCCTCCATTCTGCTGACCATCCAGCCGTCCCAACAGCCTCCTTCGGCTCCACCAGACACTCGGCGCCCGGTGCTGGGGGAACAGGGTCTTGCTGGGGGAGTGGCGGACAGAAGCGATCACATAGCCCCCCCTCACCGCCCCCTGCATGGCCCGGGGTGTGGTGCCCAGGGAACAAGATCAGATTAGGGAGGAAGGAGGAAGTGCTCCTGCCGGTAGTGGCCTGATGGCGAAGTGAGCAGCTGTGGGCAGACACACCCGTCCCCGCATACCCCGCCAGCTGGGGGGCCACCCCTCCCTGCCTGCGTCAGGGCACCACTGGGACTGGACCCTCTGTCCAGGCAGCATCACCAGCTGCATGGACTTGAACTTGAGTTAGAGGTCTTTCTTCTGTGTGGTCACCCCTCCCTAAGGCCAAGGAGATGGGAGCAGACACGCGTCCCCTCCACCTCCATCCTCCCAAAGTTCTGACTTTTTTTAGCCTCTCCTCCGACTCCTCTCTCCTCCTGCACTGTACCCTTCCCTGCCTTGGCAACTGGGTGGCCGGTGGGGCTGTGGGCTCCGTGGCCTTGCACTCAGAGCCTTGGGGCAACTACAAACACCGAGGCTAAGTCCCAGCACTGTTCTGGCCCAGCTAAGAGGCGTGCCTAAGCACCTGGCCCATGTCCCCTGGCTCCCCCGGTTACTGCTGCCTGAATAGGGGAGACACCCGCTCCCAGACACTCTTCCAACTTCACTCCCACCGACCCGTGACCTGAGTGAGAGCTGCCTGGCCCAGGTCAGCGAAGAAGGGCGCCTCCAGGCTCGCTGACTCCCCAAGGTCCTCAGACTTCGGTGGGACCAGAAGTCCCTGGTTACCTACTGATACTGGGACCCACCCACGCCCCACTCCAGAGATTCTGATTCAGGAGGGCCTGGTGGGGTCCTGTAATCTGCACTGAGCCTGCTCATGGGGCTGGAAGTGCTGAAACAGCTGTGGGAAGAGGGCCTGCCAACGGGCTCCAGAACCCTCCCACCTGTGAGGGTGGGCTTGGCCGGGGCGCAAGGTGGGGGGCTGTCAGATGCCGTACCTTCTGGGGATGGGGACTTGGGGCTGCTCACACATACCTCTTGCAGGCCTCTGACCTCTCGGGGGCAGGCCAGGAGGGCAGGGATGGGACCTGCCCTCCGCCTCCCCCACCCCCCACCCTTAGCAAATGCAAAGAAGTCAGGGGCCTGTGATTCATGTTTCTTTCCCCTTAACACATCCACACCCACACCCATTTTTCTTAGGACCCCGCCCAGCACACACCAGGACAAGAACTAACAGAGTCAAACTTTTACGGGACTTCCTGCTCCAGTAATTCCACTGAGCTGAGGTCTCTCTGGACCTCTGCCCAGGGCAACCCCACGGGGTTTCTGTCTACTGGGCAACTTGGGCCAGGGCTGCTGACTGCCTGCTGGGGGCCATGGAGTAACCAACACGAGGACCAGGAGGCAGGAAACGGAGACAGTGCCAAGCCGCCCCAGGCCTCGGCAATCCCTGTGACACCTGATAGGACGCCAGAGGCCTCCTGGTCGCCGGCCAAGGGCAGCAGGAAAGGCTGGGACATGCAGCTGAGGCTCACAGCCTGCGAGCAGGGGGTCCTGCTCCCGCTGGGACCCAGGACACACACCACAGGGACGAGGCTCAACACATCAGCTGGGCTGACGGGCTCTGGGAGCCTTCTTGCCATCAGTTGGCTCAGACATATTTACCTTACAACCAATTCACTGCAGGCAGGATCCACTTCCAGAAATGTCAGCACGCTTTCTGCCCACATCCCAACACTGACGCCACACACAGCCCTGCTGGCACACTGACAGCACGTGGGAACACGGGGCCAGCTCTGAGTCCAAGTCCTGCTCCCACACCACTCCATCCTTCCAGAGGCCAGGTCCTGAGCCACCAGCCCCTCGCCTACAGGACACAGGTAACGGTCGCTACCTTTGGAATTACTGCAGGGTTAAAGGATATAAGTTTAATACAATGCGTCTCACAGAGCTGGCACTCAGTAGATTAATTGCTTCCTCTCCCTCCTACTCCTGTGACTCAGTTCCCCTGTCTCAGTTCTAAATCCAAAGAGATCCCAAGTTTACCCAATTCAGAAAAGCCAAGGGGCCCTGACGCCATAGAGAGTTAAGTACTTCTCATCGGCCCTCCGTGATACTCTAGCTCTCAAGTTCTCCGCTACTACTGGGGCTCCACTCCCCTGGCTGGCTCCATCCCCCAAATCCTAAATCTTCTGAGTGTGGGAGAAAGAGCAGACCCCCAAGTTCTTCAGTTTCCTGAAATCCTAGGGGCACTTTCCCAGCCGGCTGGGACGGGCTGGCAGTGGACAAACGTTACACAATGCACGAGGCTCTCAGGCTGTGGGTCCTGGCGAGCCAGGAAGCACTTTAACCCTCTTTAAAGTATATGGGGGTGATTACGGTCCTCACTAGGCACGCAGCATTCCCCAAAATTAACTGACACCTCCCCGGGGTCGGCAGGTACATCCTGATGTTGGGCGTAAAGTAATGTCATTCTGCCCAAGCGGGTCCCAGCATCCAAAGTTGCCCCAGAGCCTCCCTGGCCCGGAACCCCAGCGCTTGGACTAGCGGAGGGGATGCGATCGCCAGCCTGTGCGCCTGGCCTCCTTCCGCCTGCTCGGCGGCGCTTTCCCGAAGCTGCCCCGCGGGGATGGCGCCCAGAGCTGCATCCCGGAGCCCCAGAGCTGCCCCTACTGGGGCTCCCTTCAGGAGACGCTCGTCCCGGCCGCCGAGAGGATCAGGCTGGCCCGGAGCACGTGGGTCGGGAGGCCTCTCGTCCAGGTGCGGGCGGGAGCTCGCGCGCCCCGCGCCAAGGCCGGGAGGGTCTGGGTTCCCGGGGGCGGCAGCAGGTCAGGGCGCCTCACCTGAGCGGGACGCGCACGGCCAGGTACCTATCGACAGCCACGGCCAGGAGGCTGAAGATGGAGCTCTGCGTGAGCACCAGCACGAAGCAGGCGAGGAAGAGGCAGCTGTGGAAGTCGGTGCAGAAGCCCAGGCTGATGGTGACGGCGAAGGGGATGGCGAACAGCCCCACGGCCATGTCGGCCGCCGCCAGGGACACCAGGAAGTAGTTGGTGGGCGTCTGCAGCGCGCTCGAGGCGCCCACCGCCGCGCACACCAGCACGTTGCCGGCCACCGACAGCGCGGCCAGCACCAGCTCCAGCGCCACGTACAGCGCGTCCTGCGCCTCCAGCTTGG